ATGACATTTTCTTCTGTGCTAAGACCTGGCTAACATTCCCCATGGCCCATGAGCAAGTGATAATGGAGTCCATGCTTAGGAATGCTTGACAAACGTGGAGACCATTAGCTCACTGTTTAGTACATTTCAGTCTGTTCCATCCATCATGCACTCACATTCAGACCATGAAGGTGTTTCCTGCACTGTGTCCATAGGCAGAACAGCATCTCTGAAATTGGCCCCTCTGTACCAGATAAGCTCCATTTCTGACAGCTCATCTGATCCGTGCCAAAGACTTAATTGATTCGGAGTTCTCTCTGTTAGATGCTCCTTGCCCACCAAACTGTAACATCTCCCTTTGGAGGAGTCCCCTCCAGTATGGGGTGGGTTTTATTGGATTTCTCTCAACATTTGACAAACCTCGAGTTTGGTGGAAACCTGTTGTGGATGTGTTGGAAGGAAGGCGCTGCTCAGAACCTGCCTTCACTCATTGCTTTCTCATGATTCCCATGGCACAGCCCATGGGCCAGCTCCCAGTTAAGGGTCTTACATATAACGTCTCTCATTTTATCATCTCCAAGAAAGCTTTAGCGACTTCAATTCCTGGGAATGTTCAGCATTGACCTGGCATTCTCATTGTAAAGTATTTTTTTGATCCTTTTTCTGAAAAGGGAAGAGAATGGATTGGTTGTTGTATCCTGATTTTACAAGTCAGGCTTTGTTTTAAAAAAATATAAAACAGGATTATCTGCTGTTTACTTACTATTTTTATATCATTATTTATAGAACCTCTTGCTCTATTCCCTGCAGTTACAAAGATATTGGTAGGGAAAGGCCTAGTTTCCTTCCTTATGGTCTGAACTCTTATAAAACATGTTCTTTTAAAATGTAGATGCTTGGTTACAATTCTCATGACAATAACAGAAATTATTCAGAGATGCCTATTCACTGCCCACAGAGAACATAGGTGATAAGGATATGAGTACTCAGTATCAGATACCCAAAGAACGAGGGAGCGAGTGGGAACCTTAGAACCACCCATTCAACAGCCTCAGGTTGCAAACAGGAAACAGAGTCTCTAGAAGTGACCCCGGGAAAGCTGAGCTGGGATCGCTCACAGAGTCAGTTTGGTCAGAAGGCTTTTCCCATCCACTCCACTTCTCCTCCTCTACTCTCCCTAGGACTCTGCTTTGAAGAACACAGTAGGGGGTGCTCTACAAACAGAGCTTTGGACATTTCAGGCATGAGGGCAAAGACAACAGGGCACAATCTGAAGGGAAGCCATCTAAACACCGAGTACACACCCCAATGCCTTTTCAGGTTGTCCTGCTCCTGCAGAGCAGGTGTTGGTCACCACACAGCTCCCCTTCACCAGGGAGAGGAACTCGGGCTGTATTTGGAGTCCTTGCCACCAAAATCTAGCCAAGGACACCTGAGTGTCACATGCATGCCCCTCATGAAATGTTGAGTTCCCTGGCCTGTTGAACAAGAGGTTGGTGCCCGTTAGACATTCACTGGGACCGAGCGCGTCTGAGCAGGGAGCTCCCAGGCAGACGTGAGGGAGCTGATCAAGTAAGGGGAGAATCTCAGCTCCTCTGGACCCCAAGTGTCCAGAGACCCCACTTCCATGGCTTCCAATCCAGAGGACACAAGGAAAATGGCTAGGATTGAGCTAAAAACCAGATTTTACACCCATAGGATGTGGGATCCCAAATGAGTGTCCTCAGAATTTGCCACCCTGGCATGGGGGGTATTTCAAGCTGAAATCAAGTGAAGCCCCAGGCACTCAGGAAGAGTGTGTTTGTTTGGTTTGGTTCACATTCTCCTTCCTTCTTAAAGGGACTTGGATAAAAAAGACCTGCAAGGGAGGGGAGGGGGGAAATTATACTCACCTCAGCTTATTCACTTGAGCGCATGTGGATTGAGTGTGGTAGGCAGAGTGTGTCCAGGCCAGTCTCTCCGCCTGGTTTCCCTCTGTCCCACTGTTTCTGACTGGTCTAGCAAGAATGTGTTTGAAAAAAGAAAAAAAGAATGCGTTTGCCACTTTCTCAGTTACCTACAAAATGCCTATTTCCGCTTTGAGGTCTCAAACCCATTTCCCGCTTTCCCCTTTGTCCAAAATGACATTTATACCATATTTGGCATCACTGGTTTTAGAATTTTCATGTTGATGTGAATCCCCAATGCACATGTATTACACATTTAATTTTTCTCCTATTAGAATTTCAATGTTTTTGTGTGTGTTTTATAATCCTCACCCAAGCATATGGTTTTATTGACTTTTAGAGAGAAAGAGGAAAAGAGAGAGAAACATCGATCGTTTGCCTCCCACATGCACCCCTACTGGCATCCAACCCACAACCTAGGTATGTGCCCTGACAAGGAATCAGACCCACAGCCTTTTGGTGGATGGGTCGACGTCCAACCAACCAAGCCACCTGGCCAGGGCTGCTGCCAGTCTGCTTTATGCCATTTGCATTACTGGATGAGCCAGGAGAACTAATGGGTAAAAGAAAAGTCGCTGCGACCCCCAGGCTTCTGCCTACAGCCTATCACTGCTGGCCAACCGTTCCCTCTGCACAGCCTCAACCTGGGGTGCAGCTTTGCTCTGGTGAGTTGGTCACCAGAGGAGGTGAAACTGATCTCAGGAAGGAAAAGGGGAAGAAAGGTTCCTGCCCTCTCCTGACCTCTGGAGCGGCATTTGTGATTTTGATTCTCCCAGAAGAGAGCCTGCCTCCATGAATCTGCCAGCAGCGGGGACAGTTTCATTCTTGAATGGAAACCCACCAGAAATCAAACAAAAGCACATTGAAACAACAATGCAATGTCATGAGCAAGTGGGTAGATTCTTAAATGGTGGGACCCAGTAGGGAAGAGGGAGGTGTCAGAGGTGGAAGCTAAAGCCGCCACCTCAGGTCAGGTAGGCTGGGCTGGGCTCCCTGTCCCTGCTGAGGGGGCTTTTGTGCAATTGCCTCCCTTTTGGAAGCCCGGTTGGTGCATTCTTTAAACCCACGCGAGGCTATTGTGCAGAAGGGATGGCTCTGCGTGGAAGTGCTCCGCCTCCTGCCGGCACAGTGCGCATGTTTGATAGATAGCAGGAGCTTTAGCCTTTGACACATTAATTACCGTCTGGGGACCTAACCTCTGGAGAAGAAAACATCTAAGCGACCAGAGCCAATGATTAATGCAAGGATATGCTGATGGCAGCCTGCTTGCGGACCGCACCCCTGGAAACAGACCATTGGTAGAAGGTTGTGTGGAGACTGCTGCGTGGTTTCAGAAATACCAGACAATCGTGAGTGTGCTTGGGACCAAAGGAGGCGTTTCCCGATTCTGAAATGTTTGGCGCTGCACCATTCACCTGCTCTGGAGCTCAGAAGTGCACTAGTATCTAACCCCGCTACCTGACACCTTCGTGAAATTGAACTCAGCAGCTGGCCAAGCCAGGTGCTCTCCTTGTGGAAATACCTGACTCTTGCATAAGTGGCACTGGCCAGCCGGCCTTGGGAGGAAGGATTTACCTGGAACTTGATGCGTCTACGACTATTTAGATGAAAATATTGCGTTACACCAGGCATGTCAAACTTAAAGGCTAACACAGGCCAAATAAACGAGGCATGCGGCCCGTGGGCTGCGAGTTTGACAAGCTTGTGTTACACTCATCTGGGTAAGTTTGCTGCATTATCGTAGGGATTAGTTTGTGTCTAAAATTGATGAATGATAGGGATGGAAAACAGCATGCGTTTGGCTATGGGGTTTCAGATAAAAATTCCAAATGGTTTTCATAATGTAACACCTCTTCACAATGTATAAGGCACCCCTGCTACCTCCTCGTTCACCTAGTAGAAGTGAGTCCTGCACATGGCTCAGGTGGGCACTCCCTTTTCCCTGTAACTTCCTGCTGCAGAAGCTTACTCTAGTCATTGCAGGCAACCGTGGACCAGTTCTCCTCACTTGTGCAGACAATAATCATCTTCCTCTTCTTTCTGGTTCTAGTGGATGCACACTTAACATTCCACCCTCCGCTGCCTGTGTCTCCGAAAACATTCCTAATGCGTTAAAAATCCGGCCAAAGCCACTCAGCTGCTTCTGAGTTTGAATGATAACATTAGCAAGCACAAACGGGCTTCTAAACACTGCCTCATGCCCCTGACCCTCTCTGCCCCACGTAATGTTTAGAAATGTCAAGTTCCCTGTAGTTCCCCAGGAAGGCCATTTTGTAATTTCTCTAAAGCTTTGCACATCCATGTGCATTTTGCTGAAAAGGTTGAGGGCACACCCCGCCCCTCTTGCCCACTTCCTCCAGGAAGCATCACTTCTCTGGTGAAAACTTCACTTGTGTCCTGATTTCTTCTAAGAATCCCCAGGAATTCCCTAGCCGGTTTGGCTCAGTGGAGAGAGCATCAGCCTGCGGACTGAAGGGTCCCAGGTTCGATTCCGGTCAAGGGCATGTACCTTGGTTGCAGGCACATCCTCAGTACGGGGTGTGCAGGATGCAGCTGATCGATATTTCTCTCTCACTGATGTTTCTAACTCTCTATCCCTCTCCCTTCCTTTCTGTAAAAAATCAATAAAATATATTTAAAAAAATAAGAAGCACCAAGAGCTAGTGTCTATCTTTCCTTTAGCACATTCCACATTGTATCTGTTTTTCAGGTGTATCTCTTTAAAAATGATCCTTGTGCTTGGCACATAGTTGACTTACAATACATATTTGTTCGGTGAATGGATGTAATTATTTTATATCTGGTTCTCTAAAAAACAGTGACGCTTGCCATCCCCCACCCTCCCAGGTCCTGGATGGCCCCCTTTGCAGGCAGCACCGTGAACCTTGGCCCAGGAATGGAAACCACCCTGCGGGTGGATATGAACAAAGCTGACACATTTTTCCTTTAAAATCTTGTAGCTGAATGTGGACTGATCCTGAAATGAAGGTCAGCTCCAGGTGGTGGTTTATATCAGCTGTCAGGTTGCAGAATAAAAAAATGGCTTTTATATGTTTGATTTTTATTGTTTTCCAGGGCAATGTCACTTTTTCCTGCTCCGAACCACAAATTGTTCCCATCACATTTGTCAACTCCAGCAGCAGTTACCTGCTGCTGCCTGGCACCCCCAACATCGACGGGCTCTCAGTGGGTTTCCAGTTTCGAACGTGGAACAAGGATGGGCTGCTTCTGTCCACAGAGCTGTCTGAGGGCTCGGGGGCCCTGCTGCTGAGCCTGGAGGCCGGGACCCTGAGGCTCCTGATTCAGAAAACGACAAGACGGGCAGCGGAAATCCTCACAGGTACCATCTGCTCACTAACTCTAGGTCGGTTTCTGATTCAGCCAAATCAACAAATGTGTTGAGGTTCTGACCAATGCGTACAGACTCCAGCTCCAGGGCTGGGGGCTGACCCAGTGCTCACAGTGGCTCTCAGTCCACCCCAAGGGCAGCAGCTGTAGCTGGGCAAGCCCCTGCACTTCCCCATCCCTCAGCGCTTTGAGCTGGGAAGCGGGAATGAGAGTCCCATCTAGCACCATGGAGCAGAATGGAGACAGTTCACAGAGCACTTTGCTGGTCTCCACAGGCAGGGTCTATGCCATAGAATAGTCACCATGCTCGCTCAGGTAAGGCATTGCTCTCGGTCCTGGAGGCTGGAGGCTGGAGGCTAAGCAACTTCCCAGCTCACATGGCGACCAGCAACGGCACCAGTTTCATCTTGAATCTGTCTGACCTCATTCTGTAGCTTTGCTATATGCCCCACCACCGTCGACATTTTCAGCCACCTAATTCTATTTCAAGTAAAAGTTAGTGAGTTTTAAAAAAATATTTCTAAATATACATTTTTAAGTTATTAAGGAAGTGTTGCTACAGATGGCATCTGGCTATGCCGAGACTTAAAATTGTCCTTAAATAGTTGGCATCTGAGAGCTCTCACTGTCTGCAGCGACATGGTACGGATTCTAAGGATAGCAGCATGGAGCCCATCTGAGAACATGACTCTGGCTCTGCCTTTTCTTCAACAAAATGGTGGGACTTCCCGGCCTTCTCCACCTGTTGTCTCACTGGCACCTCTGACTTGCCACAAGAGATGCTGACTTAGTTGGCAGGTACTTATGGAGGTCAGACCACCTGCCTGGCCTTGGGTTAGGGCTGAGGCATGCTACGAGGCCTGCATCCCTTTGATCAGCCCCCCTGGATACACAGTGTGATTCAGATCCCCTCCACCACATAACCTGGGCCAAAGTTCATCCAGGATATTGCACAACGTTGCATTTTTATTTAATTTAAATGACTTCCTTTCCACGCTAGACTGTGAGTTTTGTGATCCAAATAAATTAGAGAAATTCAAGTTAAATTGTAAAGGATGTTACTTAACAATCAAGATTAGGTCAGACTATGGGAGAGTCACAGATGCCTCCAAACCCTGGGGATAGCAGGGATGCCTGGGTCTTGGAATCAGACAGGTTCAAAAGGCACCTCTCGCCCTGGCCGGTTTGGCTCAGTGATTAGAGCATCGCAGGTTCGATCCCCGTCAAGGGCACATACCTTGGTTGCAGGTTTGATTGGGAGGCAACCAATGGATGTGTATCTGTCATGTCCATGTTTCTCTCTCTCTTCCTTCCTGCCTTCCACTCTCTGAAAATTAATGGGAAAAATATCCTCAGGTGAGGATTAAAAAAAGAGGCACCTCTTCTCCTTACTATTCTTCAGCCCTCGATAAACTTTGTAATGTCTTATACATAAGTGGTAGTGTGTTGGTTACCTAGGGCTGCATGACAACTTACAGCAAGATTCAGTGGTTGTAAGTGAGGTGCCTCAGTGTCTAAGAGTCAGGCCTCCAGGACTCCTTGACTGGGTGAGCCTGGCTGGAAGGGCACAGTCATCTCAAGGTACAACTAAGAGTGGTCTGCTTCCACGCTCACTCCTGCACTGTGGGCAGGCTCAGAAGGTCATGTGCACACTCATCCCCTTGGCCTCCGCAGAGGCTGCCCATGCTAACAGCACTCTTACCCAGAGGGAGGGAGCCACAGGCAGAGGGAGAGGACACCCGGGACAGAGCCTGGTCTATGTGGAACCCAGTCCTGGAAGTGGCCTCCCACCCCTTTGCCGTGTTCTGTTCATTAGAACCAAGTCAATAAGTCTAGTCCTTCCTAAGCCGAGAGAATGTGCAGGGGTGGGGAGAAGCCATGGGTCAGTGGCACCCTCTGAGAGTCTACCTGAAATAGAAGATAAAACCAATTCCTCCATCACAAGCCTGTGATGTCTAGAATCCTGAGCATGCCAGGAAGCTAATGTTTCTCCTTCCCATACTGACTCAAGACCTATCGCTAGAAAAGGCCTCACTCCATGAGTCAGAAAAGCTATGTGACTGTGTGCAGTCACACTTTTATGAAATGTATAAGATTTCCTGTAATGGTGATGAATTAATAATTTAGAATCATAATATTTTATGTGCACAGTTATAAAAGTTAAACCTCAATTATCCTTATTTGAAGTAGAAAAACATAAACTGGCACTGGGCAATTTCTAGCCAATTGGCGAGATGTTTGAGTACAGAGACTTGTCAGCCTCAGGTCAAAAATGCAGTTTTAATATAGTGCAAGCCCTGGCGGCCCGTGCTCGGAAGCACCCAGGTGCGGCCGGTGTTATTAAGCACACGCCAGCCCAGGAAAGCGTGTTTCTGAGTGAGAGAGTGGCTGGTCCAAGCTGCCAGGCACCCAGCAAAGAAGGGGAAATAATCAGTTATTTCAGAGCTCTCTCAAGAAATGAGTAGAAGGGGGTTTTAAAAATGTGCTGAGTTCCTCAGGTGTGTCTCAGAAGCTTGATTCTTCTCTCCATTTTGGAAAAATTGAGCTTCTTTAATCTTCGAAATGGATCAAGGTTTTGTGTCTGCTGGCATTTTTCTACATAGGGGATAAAAAACAAAGATTCAAACAAACGGAAACAGCTTTCCTCTCCCTTACATTTTTGAGGAGACGTATTTCCCCGGTACTTGAGATAATATTGCCTTTATAAGAGACAAAAAATTCCCATAAGAAACTGGAAAGTAATGACCATTGCCCCAATAGTTTTTGAGGGACCATGGGCTACCCTTGACACATGGTACATCACAGGAAATGGAAATAGCACCACACTCTATCAATTGAACAGGGACCCAGCTTCTCCAGGTTTATTTCAGAAGGGTCCCGGTGCTCCCAGTGCCTCGGCCACAATGAGCAGGTGACTCGGGGAGAGGCAGGGCCCGGCGCCTGGCCCAGCCACTCCTGCTCCAGAGGTCTGTACCACGTGCTTGGGTTCTGGAGTCACTTGGGGCTTTCTGCATGGTGCCCAGGGAGAGGAGTGCAAGCTAAAGGTATCCTCAAAATAGGAGGGAACTGAACATCGTTGCTCTGGGGGACAACGTTCCAAAAAGTGAAGGAGGACAGTGCAATGTCTCCCTTGTATTTTCTCTTATTTTCTATTTTTGTCCTCTTCCTTCTTGAGAGTTATACACATGTGCACATGAGGAGAAACCAAGGACACCATGTCCCCAGAGGTGACGTGGGAGTAGAATCAACAATGCTGTGGGTCTCCTGAGGCCAGAGCTTGAGCTAGCACCTGCCAGGTAATGGAAAAATCTGCTCATAACACCATGAAGCAGGTATCAGTTTGCCGACATGCACAGGAGCAAACTGAGAATCAGAATTAACTTATAATGACCAAGGTGGGTTCCCCCTCAGGCCTTTCCTTTGGATTCCATGTGCGTGGTCTTTATAGTACATCTTGCGGCCATCCATAGTCATGTTTTCATATTGTCAGTTGCTTAAACAATTCAAATGTAAAAACATCCTGCTTTAGAGGAAATATTTACAGACAAATGTACAATAGGATATTAATGAGAATAGGCTATTTAGGATCAAAAGTTGAATTTTCCCAAAACAGTTCTGTTACTTGGTGGTACTCTCATTTCCAGATTCTTCCATGAAGGAGGACTGACACAGAGGGAGCACTCGTCGTCTTGGCAGACTTGTTGTCTCATTTAGCTCAGGCTGCTGTATACTGCTATAAAGTAACCACACATATCTACCCCAAATGCTGAGAATTGCACACACACACACACTCCCACACCCCTACATTTATTTTGTGTGTGCGACATACTTTATAAAGACTTTTCCAAAGACTTGATGCTGATTCTATGGTAAGAACATCAACTAATCACTAAGGGAACTAAGTGACATAGCCGCTAGGAAGAGGCTGGCTGCTTCCAAAGCCTCTGGCCTCTACTGTGCGGCCTGTCTCACTCAGGTCACCCCTGCGCCCTAACCCCCCATGGAAACCTGGGGGCTGCACCGGAGCAGGGGCGGGGGGGCGGGTACCTGCAAGGAGTCCCACCACATGTTGAGCCTTGCCATTTCAGGACTCAGAGCAGCCATTCAGGCAATCCTCCAATTAATGGACCAACATCTGGTTTTCCTACTATAAGCGTTTTAAATCTCAGCTCTTTAGCGCTTCTCCTGAGGTACTATGTGCTGGCGGACTCTATTTCTCAAGTCCACACCTGTTCGTTGAACAATAGGTACCATGTTCTATTTCTTAAAAAAGGGAATAGCTGCTATTTTAGAGGCTCTTAAGAAGATGCTTAGAATGGAGCCTGGTATCATCCAAACCTGAATTACTGAAACTCGGGAAGTTTTATAAAGGTAAAGGAGACCACCTGGTTTGTTTCTTTGGAGAGTCAGGGCACAGTGTTGGTGAGGGGGTATCAGAAAATGAAAGGCATTCAAATTATATTCATAGAGGTACTAGAGCTGCTTTATGTGGAGAGAAAATAAGACAGAGACATAATAATGGTCTGTGAACATGGGACACGCTCTCTAATAGGTGAGAGTGTTTATGTCACTGCAGGATGCAGAACACGCACAATAAGATCAAGTGGCAGAGAAACCACTCTTGGTTTTCATTAGAGAGTATTCCATTCAGAGCTTTCCAGCTTCACTGCATGCTGCTCTCATGTCACTAGGGCTTCCATCACAGAGTGGAATTCTCAGCATTTGGGGATGAGTCTCAGTGCCGTGTAATGGGACCCAGAGATGGGAGAGGAAGCCTCAGACAGGACCTCTGCCGGGCAGCTGGGCACCACTAGTGATTATAGGAAGGTGAGGCCCATTGCCAGGCACAGAATTCCTGGGCAAAAGGAAACACAACTAGCAAAGGTCCAGGAATCAACCAGGTGCCATGGAGAAGTTTTCAGTTCAGGCAAGTAAGTGGCTTATTGAAAAGGCCATCTCAGCTCAGTCCATTTAATTCCTCATAGGAACAAG